CTAATCCGAGTTATAACGAATAAGTTATGGCAAAAATATTAAACTGAGCCCAAACCGAACCTAAGCCCACCTTACCTACGACCCAATGATCATGTGGAGGGTCCAAACGATTTAATCCAATTCCTAAACCAATTAGGATTAACTAGAAGTTTCTATAAGTTTTTAAAAGATCCTAATTATCCTTTTTAAAAAGATAAGATTAAAGATTTTGAAATTGAATAAAAAATTTCTTTTTGAAAATCCTATTTATATCCGAATTGAAAAACGTTCAAAGATAGACAGATATTATTTTCGTGCCTCATAGTTTTTATCCAAATTTTATATGGTTGGATATCCCTTTAAATTATCTTTCCAATGATATATTATAATATCAATTCCGAGCTATAACGGAAAAGATATGAATTAAAAAAAAAACTGTATCCAAAACTGACACCGTCCTACTATTTCGGCCATATATTTTATTCTATAAAATATTTTAATCTGATTTTAATTGGATTAGAAAGTAGACTTCAAGAGCTTTCCAACGATATCTTATTCATCTTATTCCAATTTCTGGATCAAAAGATACGATAAAAACAAAAGGCGCAAAAACTGTTGTCTATCGAGTTTTATTCCGATTTAATTCGGATCTTATCTTAATTCTTCGACCCTTTTTTTTCTCTATAAATAGAGGTCATATCACCCTTTTTTACGGGGTATCAACAAGCTTTATCATCAAATAATTCTCTTCTCCCTCTTTAGCCTAAATACTAGCCATCCTATTCTCTCAAAATACTTCCTTAAGCACTCCAAGGAGTTCATACTTAACCCGAGGTTCCGTCCTTAAACCAAGGCGTGAAAGGTATAATTAACTGAGGGTTTGGACCAAATCAAATCTACCTTTATTTAATTTAATTTCCATTTAATTTATATTTTAATTGAAGTTACTAACAGCTTATTCATGATGTAGCAATTTAAAGGAACGCGCGAAATATGAGTAATTAATTAATTTAATTACTCTTATTTTATTTTAATATTGCTAGTATCATGATTAGGTTAATTTTATATTTGATTTGACTAACGCTATTATTGTTAAATTGCTTCCAATATTAATGTTTATTCTATTATATTTTTTATGATCACCATATTGCATGTTTAAAGGGAATATGTAATTGAAAATCACGCCTAATAAGATAATTTGGACAACCGATTTAGGTTCCTTTTTAATCTTGTTAATTAATTCAAGTGATCACAAATATTTTAGAATTATGTGTTGCATTAATATTAAACCAATTTAGCTTAATAATAGTTTGGAGCAAATTGAATCTTTGTTTGTATGCCTTTGAGATCGCAGGAATCATTTTTCACTATAAGAATCGAGTAGAGGCCAATACGGGCGAATATGAGTCCATGATTCACTTCGTACCATCATCCCCGATCCTCCTTTCGTGGTTCCGAACCATATGGAGTTAGTAATCTCATGGATTATGAATGGGGTGTAACCTTCACGGGTCAATCGTTGTTGCCTATCGTTGTCCCTTATTCGTGGTTGCCTTTTATGATCCGTGAACGGTTTACAAGTTCCTTAAAAACTTGTTGGCGGCTCCCTACTTTATTTGTCCCTAATCGTATACGTCAATTCCCAGTTCCTAAGAGTGCCAAGCATATTCACCACATGCTTAACGTAGGCGCACATCGAGCGACGCCTACAATGTTTAATTAAATTTCCTTCCTCTTTCTGCGATGAATTGCGTTCTTTGGTGTCGCATTTTTGGTGGGGTCAAAAACGGGGTGAAAGAAAGATCCATTGGGTGGCTTGGCGTAAGATGTGCACTCCGAAAGCTGCTGGGGGTCTAGGATTCAGGGATTTGAAGCTTTTCAATGCTGCTCTATTGGGTAAGCAGGCGTGGAGATTAATGAAATTCCCAAATAGCTTAATTGCTACGATTTTGAAGGCCCGCTATTTTGTGAATGGTAATTATTTGAGCACAGATTTGGGTAGCAATCTTAGTTACACTTGGAGGGGTATTTGGAGGGCAAAGTGGGTGATTAATAGGGGGATAAGGTGGAGGGTGGGGGACGGGCTGCACATTCCAGTCTGGTCTGCCCCTTGGATTCCCAATTCTCAGTCGAGGTGTGTGATTTCTCCAAGAGGGGATGCTGATGAGAACTTGAGGGTATGCGACTTGATACATCTTCCCACAGCTACTTGGAATTATGAGTTGATAAACTCGCTCTTTCTTCCATTTGAGAGGGAGCGAATTTTAGGTATTCCTCTAAGTCTTTGGTTGCCTGATGATTCTTGGTGTTGGGATCTTGAGAAAAGCGGGGAGTACTCAGTCCGTTCAGCTTACCGAGCTATATTTGGATAGTCATATGAGGAGAATTTTGATTCTTCGACAGGTATGTCAAAGTTCTGGAATTTAATTTGGCACGCAAACACTATTCCACGAGTTAAATTGTTCTTTTGGAGGGCGTGTGTTGGTGCTCTGCCAACATGTATGGGGTTAAGAAAACGATTGCCTCATAGGGGAAGTATTTGCAGTCTGTGCGAGGCACAGGACGAGTTTGAACTCCATAGCTTGCTTCAATGTGTTATTGCTAGACTTGTGTAGGGAGATTAGTGTGAGCTGGGTGCTACAGTAGTGGGGAGCTATAGAGACTTTGGGGATATGGCTGCCCAATGCTTTGATAGGTTGCCTAGGGAGGAGCATGGGTTATTTATGACAACGTGTTGGGCAATTTGGACTGCACAAAACAAATGGCTCTTTCAAGGGGAAGTTTGTGACCCTCTGCAAGTGATGGAGTATGTGCGAAAAATGTTGGCTGATTTAAAAAAGGATGAGGAGGTTGGTGTGACGCTAGGGGGATGGGTTAGGAAGAAGTGGCAGCCTCCTAGGGAGGGGAGTTTCAAGCTCAACGTTGATGGGGGATCCTTGGAAGGTCTTGGCTCGTGTGTTGTGATGAGGGATTCCTCTAGGTCGGTGTTGTTTGCAGGATCTTGGATGGTGCGGGATCGATGGAAACCGTGTATAGCTGAGGCAAAGGCGGTGTTATGGGGTGTGCATACTGCAATTGAGCTTAGGTATCGTAGCTTCGTTGTGGAAAGTGATTGCTTGGGTGTTGTGAACGCAATTAAAGCTAGAGAGAGGGGAGATAATAGTCTCCACATGGTACTAGATGATATCTATCATGCTTGCAATTTCTTAGATGGGGTGTCTTGGTCTTTTGTGAGGAGGGAAGGAAATAAGGCTACCCATGAATTAGCTCATGGAATGCCATGGGAACCGGGTAGCAGAGTTTGGCTTTCGAATTTTCCTGCTTGGCTAGTTGATATTGTAAATTTTGATTTGATTATTAATGAAAATTAGTGCCTCTTGTGGTGTTTTTCAAAAAAAAAATGAGAAAGGGAAAGGTTGAATTAAAGAGGGGTGATGAAGATGAAGCGAGCATGGAAGGTGAAGTATAAGTTTAATAAAAGCATAAATACTATATACTTTAAGTCAGGGATGGCAATGGGGCGGGTCGGATGCGGATGATGGTACCTCCAGACCCATACCCGCCCAAAAATCTTATACCCATCTCTGCCCCACCACCAGTGGCGGGTACAATATCCACATCCATACCCGCCCTACCGGGTACAAGATAGGATCCATACTCGCCCCATCACCCACTTGGATATTCATACCCGCCCCAAAATCGTCCCAAACCCTTTGCCATGATGCTTTATTGTATCACATTAATGACGATTATATCAAATTAGGTTAAGAAAATTGGGACTTTCACTATTTAAGCTTATTGGGTCTTAGGGGGTATCAAGTTTCATAAATTCTCAACTCTTCTAAAAAAAATATGGTGCGGGTATAAGGTGAGTACGGGGCGGGGCGGATATGGGGCGGGTCTACTCTAAAATCCATACCTGCCCATCACCAATGGCGGGTACACATTTTATACCCATCCCCGCTCCATTACTCGCCAAACCTCCCTCCATCCCCGCCCCGCTTGGGCGGGGATGGGGCTGGTCTCCCATTTAACCCTACCCAATGCTATCCTTACTTTAAGCTAGATTCGAAGCCATAACCTCCAATACATAAAGGTAATACATTTACCATCTCAATTAATTTTTATTTATGTTTCAAATTTCATATAATATTATATTTTCCTTTTAGTTATTAAGGAAATTAGAGGTAATATAATTCATTTATTTATAAAAAGAAGTGACACCGAAGCCTGAACCACACACTAACCATATATACAAAAAGTCGAGATAATTATCAAATTAAAGAAGTAAACATACTAGCAGCAACTCGACGCATCGCCCGAGGCACACACTAGTTTTTTTTACCCTTTTTTGGTGTAAATATTGAGCTAAAATTGGATTCAATGGTAAAAAAAATGACCCCAAAAATAACTAAAAACATGTTTTGGCATAAAATTTGAATTTTTTTTTTAAAATGTTAGATTTAATGGGTTTTTTGTAAAACAGTAGTATTATTTTTTTCTTTTTGAAAACATTTTAACGGTAGTATTAAGTGAAGGTAAAATCTATTTCTTTTTTTTTTTTTTTGGCTTTTTGGTCATATTTTAAAATAATTTTTCTAGGTGGTAATACTAATAAGGGGATTTTTATTTTATTTTTTACTTTTGTGGTTGTTGAAATACAAAATTTCCTTTAATTAATATTCGGTTTACACTAGAGGATGTAATGAACTTGTTTGCCTAGGTCCTTTCCCCCAAAGCTTGCTAACTTTGGCGAAAATTGACCTCTTTTAATCCAATACCCGCAAAAAAAAAAAAAGCTAATGTATCCACAAAAAAATAAAAAATAAAAAAAATAAAAATGAGATAGAGAGAGTAAAAGCGAGTATGTATATATATATATATATATATATATATATATATATATATATATATATATATATATATATATATATATATATATATATATATATATATATTTTCCTTTTCTTTGACAGGAGAGTATATTTTGTTACCAATAATGCTGGTCTAAATCATAATTATAATCAGATTAAATCACTAACAACATCTACTCAAAAAGGTAATAAACAGCTAACATGGCACGCTCCAAGGCGCCTCTCTCTGTATCTGCCTTTCTCTCTCCTCTAAAAAAAAAGCGAGCGAAAATGCCACTTTCCTTTTCACTTCACTTCCCAATCAAGCCTTCCATCTTCCCCCTTTTCTTCTCTTCATCTTCCCTTCCCTTCCCTTCCCTTCCCTTCTCTTTCTCTCTCCTCTTTCATTTCCCCATCATTCCCTTTTCTCTTTCTTTACTCATCATTTCATCGTTCTTCCTACGCTAATCACCCCCAATTTCAATATCCTTTAACACACACAAAAAATCCCAATTCAGTCCATAAACTCTGAATTTTGATAAAAAAAAATAATGGGAAATTGTTTTACAAAGCATAACAACAAGAAATGTCTAGTAGAAATTGCACCGGCAGAGGATTTAGCTGGCGGGAAACCAACTCCACCAATTGTTTTTCTATATGGTGATCCAAATAACTCTGCTACTCAATACCCAGTGGCGGACCCAGGAATTTCCGACTGGTGAGTCACAATTGATAACCAAATATGTAAAAAGAAAAAATTTACCAAAATTCCCAAGAAAAATTATTTACAAAGATCATCCAAATAGAAAATTGACAAGATTACAGTACTAACTAATAATTAACAAGCTTAAAATTGACAAGACTAAAATTAACAAACTAATAATTAACAAGCTAATAATTGACAACATGACAAGCTTAGCTCTCTAATAATTAACAAACTAATAATTGACAAGATTAAAATTTGTACAAGCATTAGGTTCACATTTCATCAAAAACCCAACAACATTAACAAAAGGTTCAAAGTTAGTATTTTTTTTTTTTTAAAAAAAACTTAGAAAATAATTTTTTTTTTTTTTTTTTTAAAAAAAACTTAAAAAATATTTTGGGCCCTGGTGAGTCATTTGACCCACCAGGCATAAGGCCAAGTCCGCCAATGTCAATACCTACGTTTTGCTCTTCTCTTCAAACCACTCTCCCTTCGTTTCGTCCCTCGGGCCGAAACCCCGGAGTTTACAGTCCGTTTCGATACGGATGAACTGGTTTCGGGACCGTCCGAGGTGATATTGGAGTACATTGAATCGAAGCTCCCTCGTCCTGCTCTGTTTAAACTAGAGAGAAATGGGGTGGTAGAAGGTGGTTGGGAAGAGGAGGATAAAACGGCGGCGTTTTGGGTGGTGGTGAGAATGGTTGTGCTTCAGCATAAGAGTATGAAGTGGCATTTGGAGAGGGTGGTGAGGTGGGGGTTGGATCTCTCAACACGTGGTGGAGTAGGAGCCGTTGATCCGAGTGTTGGGACTCCGAAAATGGAGGTGAGTAAGTTAGGGAAGAGTTATGGGAAGTTGCTTGAGGTATTGCTTGAGCATGCTCAGATGGAGGAGCGCATTCTTTTTCCTATTTTACAAGCTTCTGATCCAGGTCAATTTTTAATTTTAAAAATTATTTAAAATTAAGTTCTACTATCGTTTTTCAATTTATAATTTCTTTTTATACACCTTGATACATGGTACATTCGTAATTTCGTACCCGTTAGCCGATTGAGGAGAAAGTCAAATTAGTTAAAATTGAGCGTTGGTGTATTGTGTATTCGTGTGCCTGGTACAATTGTATTAGTGTGACAAGGATGTACCGTTACATAAAGGCCTTTATACATTGAAATAATTGAATATCTGGATATTTCAAAAATATTGGGGGAAAAAAAACAGAGGAAAGAGTAGTAAGTTTTAATTTAGTTAAAATGTTTCTTGGTGCACTCTTTAGAAGTTTAGAGTAACTTACAACTTTTGTATGGGGTTTCAAAAAAAAAAATACAACTTTTGTATGGGAAAACAAAATTTCTAGCATAACTCTCAAAAAAGTAGAGTGACTGAGTGAATCTGATACTGGGATGTATGTAAATTGAGAAAGTTATTGTTGCACAATTTTAAGGTAGTGCTATACACTAATACACAACTATAATTTGAATCATGCACATGATACATCCACACTTAACTTATTGTTATTTAATTTATGTGAAACAATTTTATTATACTAGGAATTTGTAAGTTGGATTAAAGCTTGTGATCCTGCAATGAGATGGTTTTGATTCTTAGTTTTAGGATGGGCTTTATTGCTATGGAGCTAAGCGGAAACAGTCAAATAAATTGTGGGACTTATGGTACGGTAAGTGTAAAGGTTCAGAGTATTAAAACAGGGAAAAATTCCCATTAGAATAACAGGTACAAGGGAGAATTGTATTAGGAGGGGGTCAGGGGGAGATTAAGAAAGATATCGAAGACATACGTGCTATGTGAGTCTTTGAAAGCCTAATAAAGTAAACTTTGAGCTATTCAATAGGAGGCTGCGCATTGAGTTGAAGCTAAAACCTACTATGCTAATTGTTGTTCTAATCATAAACCTTTTACATTACCAAGATTCAAAGCTAGAGTTGTATTTTAAGGGTACTGACATCTTGGAATTGCATAGATATAATTAAGTGTATGGAGGATTTCAGTTTATGTATGGACTAACTGCGAAAGACTGGAGGTGGAGATTGGTTCTTAGCCAATACATTAACTATAACCACTAGACATGGTAATGTGCTTCCAAATTTCCAATAAATTTCCTAGTTTATATTTCAATTTCTTTGGGTTTGAATGGAGTTAGAATCTCTAAATAGTGCTTCGAGTATTCGTTTGGTGTGGCGTTGATGGTTCTGTACTCCATTGGACATTTTGTGACATATCTTGGCTTTTAGCTTGATTATGGGTAAGATCTTAGGATCAAACATGAGTCTTACTAATCTCACCTTTACAGGCTTACGTGCCTCCTTTGAACCACAACTCAACTAGCTCCAAACTGAACATCTTAACATTGTACCAAGTGACACCAGAACCATAGAAAACTAGGTATAAAAACGGAAACACAATTTAGTCTTTCATCTGCTGTAATATTGAATAGTGGATAGTGGTCTAAGATGCTACCACCAGTGCTAGTTTACCTTTTGATGGTTTGCCTCCTGAGTGGTCTTTTGTTCATTTTCCGTGGCATATGAATTGCAGTTGCTTTGGTAGCCGTTGTCTCTACAATTATTACTCTTAATGCGGGTTTATGCAAGTGCTAAAACTATTGCATATTACTACCTTCGTTACAGGTTATGTGCAATGATTAGACATTTTCTCTCTCTGCTTTATGTCAAATCGTTGCACATAACCTGTAACGGAGGTAGTAGTTGTTTGATCTGAGGATGCAAGCAGCATGCAACTGTGATAATGTACTTTTCCATGCAAAATGTTTTTTTATGCTCAATCCTTTTGTTTTGCTATCATTTGATGATCCAGGGGGTTAGTTGAAAATTATGTTACTTTGATTTAAGTGCTGAACGTTGCACTATGGCTGTAAACTATATGTTTTAGATTATGAAAATGATATATAGATAAACAATGCAGGGATATGTAGATGTGTGACTGAGGAACATGCAAGGGACCTGCCTGTAATGAATGGAATAAAAGAAGATATCAAATCCGTGGGAGTTCTGAATGTTGGTACTTCTATCCATAGGGAGGCCTTGTGTAGCCTTACTGCTCGACTGCAAACATTGCAGGTATATTACTATTTTTGTATGCAACACTATCAATTAGTTTTGAATCAACTCGGTTTTTTATTTATTTATTTATTTATTTTTATCTAATCTATTTCATTTGTTTTGGAGCTTGTGAACAAGTCCTTGATAAATTTAACAAAGCATGAATTTTCATGATGTGCTTCATACTATTTGAGGAATTAGCTTTCCTTTTCTGGGCTATTAATCATTTTGGGCATAACAGGAGAACTGCAGCCAACATTTTAATGAAGAAGAGAAAAATCTGTTACCGCTGATGGAGGCAGCTGATTTGACCAAGCATCGACAAAGAAAAATTGTTGAACAGAGTATTAGTGTGATGCAAGGGACTCATTCTCACTTATTCCGCTTTTTCATCGATGGATTACTTCCTCATGAAGCGATGGAGTACTTGGATTTGGTGATGAGCTGCACTGACAAGGAAACAACCGCCTCCATGCTAAGTGTACTTGTTGAGTAAGTTGACCTTTTCTAATATTTCAAACAATGTCACTAATCACTCATTTTATGAGAAAAACTCTCTAGAATGGATGAACTCCTTACTCCAAATGCTTCCAAATGATTTAGGTCTTTTCATAGAAACTAAGGAGCTTATCACTGTTATCCGCATGGACCTTTTTAGCCACTAAATATTAGGAGACCTTGGCCTTGGTAATGGAAATCAACAATACCGATTCATAAATAACTGCTACGAGTGCTACCACTATCCCTTCCCGTCCCACCACATCCTCGAAAGACAGAATATAAACACAAAAATACTTGTTAGTTGGCATTAATTCGTTTCATCTGATTCGAAATTTGATGTTACAAGCTGATGTTTCTAAAAGAACTTCCAGAGTTAGTTCCAGATGTCCTTGTTCAATATATTACTTTGAAAGTTAGCAATTGAATGTTGCCTTTATCAAGCTATTCCACTGGTTGATATGCTTTTTTCATTCCTTTCAGCTAGATTTTAAAAGAAGAGATTAAGGCTTTCCAACAACTCTCATTACAGATAGGACAGCACCAACGTGCACTTTCATTTCATTATACAAAGCTAGGGAACATCTTTACCGGGGTATGTACGATTTGCGTTGGCTTTGTCAATGAAGTTCAAAGTGAATGGGAGACCTTGAAGATCAGATTAGCTATTTTCAGTATTAACATGGCTTTCTGAGTGTAAATATGTAGAACTGACTTTTTCCAGGAAACTTAAGTGACTCTTTTCAGTTTATATGGAAAAGAACCGGATGTATTTTTTCTGTGCATGAAGAATATTTTTAATCTCCGACAGTTCAATTGGATTGTAAAGTATTACAGTGTGTTGTTATACAGGACCATGTTCGGAACATTGTTAGCCATGCGAGGGTTCCTACTTTTATCCCTCTTTTCCTAAAAGAGGTTACATTTGTCCTTTTTGGCGTTCCCTTTAATGGTTACCACCAATAATTTCTTATATAAGGATAATTACTCCTACTTTTTACGAGTCAAACATTTTTCTTTTACATACATATTTTTCATGTGATTATCCCTAGTTATCATCATAATATTTTTCATATTTCTAATGCCACCATTCCTATTTAAAAAATATATACCTACTTCCAAATTCCAATACAATTATTCCTAATTTCAAAGTTAATTTAATACTTGTTTTCCACTATTTTATTTTCCTACTCCACTTAATCGTGAAAAACTATTAAAACTGCTCTTCATGTCTTTCTTTTTTTTTTTTTTTTAAATAAAAAATAAAAAATAAATAAATAAATAAACTGATCTTCATGGTTTGTTTATTGAGAATTGTATGTTTTAAAATTTTTTAATTTTTATCCTGGCATTTCACTATCCATAGTTCTCGTTTTGGTATCAAAAAATTTTTCTCAATGTCATCCTTGCCATGAAAATTTCCTTATTATACAATTAGTAAGTAAATGGTGATCAATTAAAAGTTGATGACCATTAGGTTGGGTGATGTGACTTAATTTACCCAAATCAATACTTCAGCTCAAATGATAGTTATATGCCCCCTTAATTTACAGTTCTTTAGTAGTGAATTCCTCTTCCGAAAAAAGCCCTTAAAGTAACTAACTTAAAGCTTAAATTGCTTGGTGCAGCACCGATGCTGTTTTCCCTATCTATTAATAGTTGTATGCCCCCCTTGTCGTAACCAAATCAGGCTCGGCGTAACCCATCCACCAGCCTTCTTGCATTAAGTCATCAGCAAAAACTTGATGCTTTAGCTTTAAACGAGAACAAAGATAAAAATCGATACAATGCATTTCTCCTACTTACTGATAGAAAATGGTTATAAAACCAATACTCGATCCCCTTCCAAGGCCGAAATCCATTACCCTTCAAACCATTGGAAACTTGGACATGAAGCAGAGGAAAGACAGACGGGAATGTGGTAACCATCCCTTATAAGTCCCCTCGCATCATGACCTCAGTCATTGTCACTCGGAGCTAGCTACTCTGTCAACTAGTAACGGAAAGCAAGCATGAGAGCACTATCCACCATTCCCAAAAACAAGAGTATACTCATTAAGGTGTCATGTAGAAGTGAGAATGAAGTGCATTTTAAATCCATTAAGGTGTAATGCCAGGACCCTGTTTTTTAAAGGAGATTGTCGTCTGTCAAGATTGAAACCTAACTTATCAGTAGAAGAAATAAAATAAGAACATTTACAATCTACAAAAGAGTTCAAATCTTAAATGAGTTTGCATCTAGTGACTCAAAGCTGCAATATAATCTACTGCGCGATTAGATTCATTGTAAATATGGTGGGAATTACCTTTATTAAAATGGCCAAGCAGTTGTTCCAAAATAGTGTAGTTTATAACAATTTATGCATTTACTTTCGAAATCTTCATGTTTCATCATAAGTAATTTTACACCTCCTTTGAAAAAACAATCGTTCAAAATACATTAGCCAAGTTCATATTTATTTTATCATCCAAGATATGGCGTGGTAATCATCCATCCAAAGTAACCAACAGATAGAATCGCCTTTTACTGGTGGCCCGACCGCCCATAGCATCCTAAGAGAGTTTAGCTTTCCACCCATAAAAGGAAAAATATAGACAAAAAGAATAATGAGGTATAATTTTGTTTTATGATTATTTTCTTACACTAGCCACTTCTGTTTCCTTTGCTTTATGGAATAAGTGGATAAGCATTTGTTCTTTTCTACTTATTTTATTTTGCTCTTTGGACTAGTGGTAGCAAAATTATGGCTAACATCATTGTAAAGGTCATCAAGTCATCCATTATATAACATCATTTATAGCAGAGGAAACGATATAACTTGAAAATATATGAAAAATTGGGATGAGGACTGTGGCTTTGTTCTCCTTGATGTTGTACTTACATCTTGCTCTTTCGACAGCATCGCCCTCCTCTCATACAAGCTTCAGTTCTGGTAAATCCAACTGCTTCATCTATTCTTATTGTTGTAATCAAATTTCTGCTCTACAAAAGCATTAAACATATTCAATCAAGCATACTTCTTCATTTTTCTCTCTTTGGATTTTCAATGTAATACTTCATATATAAACTAAAAAATTGATCAGTAATACTGGTTCCCCAACAATCACATTCATGGCTTCTTTGTTGATCGATTCGTTACCTTATACAGTATAATAAGTGAAGTTCAATGTTAATATAACTGATCCCATATACCAGTAGGTATGAAAACTTAACATGAATAGTCAGAAATGAGAATAATCAGTAAGCCTGCAATTAATACATCTAATTTATGCTTGAATATTATTCATCTCATAGGAGATTAAATTTTAATTTGTCAATAAACATGTCTCGAAACACAAGGATGGGAATGCAGAAGGCAGGTTTAGTAAAATATGAAGTGAAACTCTGAAGTAAAATTGTGTACCTTATGTTTATGTTTTCCAAAGCTTGCAGATACGGCGTAGTAACTAACAATGAACCTGGCTTTGATAATATTGGAAAGGAAAAGTTGTATAAAACCACAAAATACATAAAATCAGAAAACAGGCAGTGTTCTAGAAAATCCAATCGATCTTCACTTATGCACATGCATAAATAATGCATAATGCAATAGATAACAGATGATTGCTGCGTGTTTGTAGCTGAATTGCAGGAAAAAAACCATACAGAGAATGTATTTGTGCAGAACATAAGAACAGGCCATGGCGGTGGTGAAGGAGGTAGTGGTCGTGGAGGCAGTGCAGGGGATGTACAACAGGGAAGACCGCTCAATGGAGCTGGTAATGTCAATAGTCGTAATCACCAACGCCATGGAGCAGGTGTCCACACTTCCAACTGCAACTTCAGCATGCTAATAGTGTTCATCAGTCTTTCTCTGGTTTTGTTATGTTTCTTGTGAGCTTGAAATAAACATTAATGCTCAGCTGTAAACAAAGAAAAGCTGGTCCATTGGAAGGTTAAATCTTACAAAATTCAGCTTCTGTAATTTAGCATTTGGCAAGGCAGTGAAAGAATACGCTTCAAACTCCCCTTGACCGAACTAAAAACTCAATCCTTCCAATCCGAGACATTAAAAATAAGAAAGAATCGAGGATATTGTACTAATTAAACCCAGTTATACGTGTTTAAACAGACTTAACAATCGCAGGGCCAAGAATAATATAACAAGACTAATTTCCAAAGTTAAATTTAATTGAACTTATATTAGTTTAAATTATCGAACTAAAGTAGCTTTCCTTTTGGATGATGTTTTACTGTAAGAATGGTACATAGATATCAACAAAGAAACAGTCCTGATACAACCCTGCTAAGAACGTCTGAGTTTCCATTGTCATTTTGCCTCTGTCCGCGAGCAATCAGATATTTTGGGCTAAACTATCTGTCGGCTTGTTACATTTGGTAGAGATGGCCTAGAATAATAATTAGTTGCAGTAGCAATTTGGAGGCACCTAAGGGCCTGATAGTTTCACAAACTATGGTGGTCTACATAGGGGTACTTATCGAGCGAGTCGATCACGAGTTGAGGGGTGCTCGACTCAACTCGAAAACTTTTTACATGTGCTCAACTCGTGCTCATTAAAGTTTCGAGCAAATAAAATCTGCTCCACTCGTGCTCGTTAAAGTTTTGAGTCGAGTCAAGTAGCTCACGATGATCTGCTCGTTAAAATTTTAGTCCTTCTATTATTATATGACTTTATTTGATTTTTTATTCAATTTATATTGTTTTCCTTATTATATATTGATATTATTAAACATTTACTCTTTTTTTTTATGATATAAATTAAGACTTAACAAGTGTCAAATTTGTTTAAAGATAGTAACTTTGATTGCAAATTCTATATTAATATTATATTATCGAGTTGCTCACGAGCTTATCGAGTCGAGTTAGAGCTTGCTCAACTCGTGCTCGTTAACATCTCGAGTCGAGTACGAGTTGCTCGCGAGTTGCTCAACTCAATTAGCACCCCTAGGTCTACACATTGAGGTCATTCTTAGAGCTTACTTTGGCTTGGGATATTGACACATCGAAGTCATTACTTCAGTAAGCTATAAGTGCCCTGTTGCTATTTAAGAGAGACTGTGTTATCCCAGTCCGCACCCCTGTGTTGATTGTTTTTGCTCGTGTAGTTTTTATCATGATCTCCGGATACATTTTTTCATTGAAGTGTTTAGTTTACAAATATATTGCAACACTTAATTTAGTCAGCTACTGGTAATAATATAACCTTCTCCCTAAGGAAAGATTACTAAGTACTGGCTAACAGAATGACGGGTTTAAGAACTACTACTGTTAATATTATGTTAGTTTTTTTGTCACAAAACCGATCAGCTTGATGATTAATAGGAGCTTTGACATGCATGGTCTGTAATCAGGTTTTTACTTGAATCACATGACTATCGAAGAGATCATTCCTGAATACTTTCATGCTTAATTAACACTATTGGAGATTATAGATGATCTGCATCAGTTATAAATTCTGGTTTGGTTTGTAATATACTTCGTACATAATTGTGACATTAAAAAAAAAAATCCAAAGGAATCTTCCAATCCTTGTTTACGTTATTAGTGTTAACCGATTAACCTAGCTTATTATCTTGGAAAATTTGAGTTTTAAATATGTCAATGCAAATGATGAACAAGATAAAAGAAAAATTAGCGGAAAATATCAGAACCATAACGTTACAGAGAATCCTCAGAGTTTCAGACCTCAGTTCCTCATTTTACAGTCGGTCATAGCAAGCACCCACATTTGTAAGCAAGGCAGACAAAGTATGTGAATATGAACAAACATATCAAGACGCTTCAATGCTTCCATTCTGGTTCCACAGAAACAGTAAATATCATCATAAGTCATTGAAGTTGACAGACATTGCAGGTTGCTTTGCACATCCACATGCTTTGTACAGCAGTGTGTTCAATATGCCTGTTTCAGAAGTAAAAGCACTTGATTACAAGAACACAAGGATGGAAATGCAGTAAGTGACAAGGATCAGGGAACACAAATGTTAATTGACAATGACTTGGCCTTAAATCTCAGAGAAAAGATCCAATTTACAGAACTTCTGAAAAATTCCTTAACCACACTTAACTACAAGTATATTATTAGACATGAAGACTAGATTATCATACTTTTATGCACTCTTTCTGTCTGAAAATAATCATCACATTATCCCAACCTCACATATTAAAGACTACAACAAAATTAATAAGTATTCGAAAGTAAATGCATATATTGAATATTAATAGATTTAATATTTACAATTTTGGGAAGTTCAATTTTTTCTAACATCCTAAAATAAATGTGTGCCTATTTGTTCGGCAAAAGGATCATCTTTCAAGCAATGCATGTAAGCCGTCATTTTCATCAGAAATTAGATGTCGCATCATACAATACAAAGCGAAATGAGTTTAACCAACCAACTACCCATAAAACTAAATAATGGGAAATTAGCAGATTTTAATAAATGCATCATTTGCTAATGTAGATACCAGGTTCACATAACATAGCTACTAAATATCAGAGAACTTATTGAATCTGAATTCTTTGAAAGATTAGCAATTCGATACTTCGTATATGATATCTACTCTTGTACAAACTATGTACCTGTAAGAGTTAACTCCACAGTTAACCTCACTTATAAAAAGATCCCAAATTTTGCAATAATTCTGTACCTTGAAATAACTTAAAATTGTACAAGCTGTTCGAGTTTGCGAGTCTGGAAAAACTTGCAACGACCTTTACCACTGGACTCCATCTCCTCGCTGTTTCTCTTGCCTCCTGTGAAACCTAGATTGCTTAGCTTGAGCTGTCGCTTGCCATTCTTGTTAGCTGTGCCATCCTCATCCAAGGCACCATCTGCTTCCCTATAGAAGATATTGGACAAATGAAAAACAATCACACAATTAGAGATTCCCTGAATTTATTTACTGTAAAGCAACCTCAAAAAAATCAGCAGATGTGTGTGGAAGTGTGTGTGTGGGCGTGGTGTCTCAGGGTAGCAAAATGTCAATATTGTTAAATGTTTGAAAATAAATATCATGAATGTTTTTTCTGCACCATCCAAGTGTCTTCTCCCAAGCTCAGAATTAAAACACATCTAAAACTCTGAGATGCTGCAATGGATCCGGGTCAACAACCACTTGGGTCTATGTTAGAGGGGAAGTCAACGGTGGAAAGCAACAAGCCAAGTCCAACGATGGACGCAAAATAAAGCAGGTAACCAAGCACAGCAAGAGAAAATACTCACATACCCTTTGGAGGAAGAAGACAAACAATTGATTAATGAAGCACTTTATGATGGGGCAACAAGTGAAAGAAGAGCTGATTCTCTGTTAGGAGTAGAAGACAACAATCATTAATCATTAGCATGCTTTTGAGTAGAATGTTTGTACTATATAAAGGAGAGATCATTTTGTAGGGTATCCATTAGCAGCCTCAATTTGCTGTCAAAATGTTACAAGGGGTTAGTATCTTGAGGCTACAAGTCTCCTAAATAGCCAATCTTCTCCCCATATAACTTCTCCCTAGTTGAATTAATTACAGTAAATTGCTAGCCTATTACAGATGCATTTGACGCAAGGGAAATATCTCAATCTATGTGCGCATCGATCTCTCTAGAAGAGAGAGCAATAAAGAGAGAAAAAAGAGTTCATAAAAACTATAATGACCTATACAAGTCAGCAAAAAAATGAAATTTGTTGGCAGCTGGCGAAAATGATATGCTCATATGCTGCTAAATCCCAATTATGGATTATATGCCATTTCTCCCTCAATGAAGATACCAGTCAAGGGATGCTGAATTGAGCTCTTATTGGTCGGTAGCAAAGAAAAGGAATCATCCCCTTCAATATATTTGGTTCCTTCTGTATTTATATAGTGTTAAAAATTTTCACTTCACTACCAAATGGCTCACAAGGAAAGAACACAAAAGTTGCCTAAAGCTGATCTGATCTGATACACACACTAAGGTTTTCTCTCTGCTAATGGGGTGTATTTGAGGGTCTATTGTATGTACTAGTAGAGACCATAACTCTAGACATCTATCAATAGACTCCTTTCCTAATCCGCCCATCATGTATTAGAAAAGGCTCGACGGTTTCTGCACATAAAAGACTAAACACACATTAAAAGATGTGTGCTAGCCAAATTATTTTTTAATTGAATAACTTTTTCTTTTTTTTTGGGTGGGCAAAACCATATGGTAGCAGTTATCTTGTATTGTACACGCATATAATTGTATTCCGATCCATATTTCTTGAAAATTTTCCAGTTTATGTATATCAATACAAAGCTTTGATCGCAATATCTCTATTCTCACGTTAGCAAAAAATTATAAAAATTGAATATTTATAATGACGTAGTCATTATGACGAATCAAACTACACCCCATATGACTACATTTGTTCTTGTATATAGAGTGAACAAAGATTCTCTCTCGTTTTTAATAGTTGTAAGATTCCAAATGTAAAGATCATTGTGCAACCAAGGTAATACTTTATTTTGGGCTAAATTGTGTGATAGCGAAAAAGTACAATTATACTTGTATTGAAAATGCATATTATTATATTAAGGTCCATATTTCTTATAATCTCCCGCATGGACCAAATACAATTAAATATGTGTGATATTGATAATTGCATAATACTTCCTCCGTCCAATATTATTGCAACCACATGATTTTTACACTATTCACCACTCTTGTTTGACCATATAAAATGATTTATTTGTAAGCAAATTATAGTCATGTGGGATCTTGTTAAATACGCCTCATAAAATACTTTTACAATATCAACTTTTTGTAATTTTTACATTTATACAATTATAGATATTTAACATATAAAATGTGTTTCGCGATGTGTGATTTATCCTTGTTGCAATATTATTAGAGAAAGTACTTAATTTGCCTTATATGACAATAACAACGCAAACCTTTTCTAATGCTTTCTAATGATAAATCCCTGGATCAAGTGTGCAAACTTGGGCAATATGGGCATACATTAGGCTCCCTGATGCCAAAGCATAAGGAATAAGGAATTTTTTGCATAACTCTAAACTCAAAATTTGTCTCCCTTAGCCAAAGGGGGTATCACCTAGCTATGCCATAACTTTTTTTAAACGTTCTCGATACAGCCCTTTTGTGATAGACCAAATAAATTAATATTCCTACCACAAAAGAGGCATCTACAAGATCTTTCAGCTCTAAATGCTTGCTCCCCATAAACTTATGGAAACACACATTCATCTTAAAACCCCGAGACATGCAACTCGTGAAGCACCATTGATGAGAAGCTTGTTTAAGTCCATAGATGGATTTTTTTTTTAATTTACAAACCATTTTCTTTTAATCTTCTGATACAAAGTATAAAGAGAGAAATCCAAATTTTATTTTTGGTTGCCGCAGATAGGTTGTTTCTTCAATGTCACCATTGAGAAATGTTGTTTTAACATCCATAATCCATCTAATGTAACTCAAAGTTCAAAATAAGCTACAATTTCCGTCATAATCTTACAGGAGTCATTAGAAGAAACGGGAAAACAAGTCTCCTTATAATCAATGTCTTCCTCTTAAGTATAGCCCTTAGCGACCAGACGAGCCTTACACTTCATCACATTGCCATTTGAATCCCTCTTGGTCTTACATTTCCATTTACAACCAATGGGTTTCACTCCTTTAGGCAATGGAACAAGGTCCTAAACGCCATTATTGTGTGACAAAAGCATAACTTTGGTGTTAAGGGCAAAATTCTACAGGACGACAACTGTTTTATGGGTTGTATAATTGTATTGTCAACTTCCAAGAAAAAGCATGTTTGTGAGTAGTAGAGATGTGGATGGTGAAAGGGATGTGTAGGAACACCTTTAAGGTAAGAAAATGGAGAGCCATGATGCTAATGTGGCCATGTGAAAATGTAGAATGGAAGAAGCGTATGAAGGAAAGTAAATAGGCGAGAACATGAGACCAGAAGTCGAGGAAGACCTATGATGACTTGGATGGAAGGAGCCAAGAAGGATAAGAAGAAAGGAGAGGATCATGGTTGAAGATAACTAGAGATGACATCCTGTTTAATGTAGCTGACTCCATCATTGGGGATAAAGGCTTTGATCTTTATAAATGACAATAAGTAATTCTTGTTAATCATTTTTAAAAGACTGTTGAGTCTCTTTGTTGAGGTGTGGGGGGGGGGGGGGGGAAGGGTAAACAGAAGACTATCAACCAAATGAACAAAGTGCTACATATTTTAAGCACTTCACATCACTATATCACCTTGTAGTAATTCATAGACTTCATTCTAGTGTTCAACCATATATGCATATCAAAGAGGTATTAAGCAGTTTTATGTATATGGACCAATTCTCAAGCAATATTAGCAGTATAAAAGTGTAGATTGTCTCACCATAATACTTCAGCGCCGTCTTTGAAGTAAGTAGTGCAAGTGCCCCAGCTAAAGCGTACCAATGTAGGGAATCCAAAAATAGAGTGTTTGTGATGTTCCAGCCAGGCCTTAGTCTCAGGATCTGCATTATAGGGCATGATAAGATTGCCTAAAGATAAAACCACTTATACAATAGAGTCTCTAGCTACAAACCTCCAGGGTAGCCAGACCCAAAGTTCCTGTGCATGTTTTCTGCTGATTCATCAAAGGTCCAATTACGCAAAGCCCGATCTCTAGTAACCTAATTGTCCAAACAAGTATTGTATGAGAATCATCTTGTATCATTTTAGCAATAGAGACTTGAAGGAAAACACAGATACCTTTGCAACTATGCTGGCTCCACTGACAACAGGGTAAAGACTGTCGGCTTTCTTGGCAACCACAAATTTAATTGATGGAAATCTTTCAGACAACTTCGTACAATACTTGTCAGCGTCTCCAACCGTATCCACAAAGACCTATAATGGGACATCACTGTTAGCTACGTTGCTTTTTTTTTAAAAAAAAAAAAAAAAAAAAAAAAAAAAAAAAAAAAAAAAAAAAAAAAACATTTAAGTGCAAATATGTGTCAGCCTTGTCAAGCCTTTAGACATTTAAAATGTGGAAAGTAAAGGTGAAGGTGAACTTGTGAGTTTGTGAGTACAACTTCTCACTCATCAAATAGAGGAAAGATGAATCAATATAAAAATAAATAAAATAAAACCAACTAGTGGACCCTATATTTTACCTGTATGACCATTGCTAAGGCCTTAACTATCATTTTCTTTTAACTACCCCCAAGTTCTTGTATTGTTGTAGGACACTTGGCACACCAATAAGGGTATGGAATCCTTACTCAACACTTCAGTGCTCACCCACACACTTAAATCACATAATTGTAGAAAAAAAATGTGAAAAGATAAGGCAGGACAAGTAGAGCGTGTAGGAAATATGCTCACAAATGGGTTTACTAATATTGTTTTTAATACTCTATCAAAGTAAAAGCAATAGTTCTTTTGTTCATGCAATATTGTAGTATGGGGGAGGATCATGCATCCCTAAGCACATATTATGCCTTAAATATCTTACGTTATATAATAATAAAACTTATAAAAAAGAAATAAATATAAATAAAAATAAAAATAAAATAAAAAAATATTATATCATTAACAAGACTCCAAATGACAATATTTTCCATGCACAACTTCTTCTAACAAACCCTTTCACTATGAACTTTTTACATTGGTTGTGAAATATTATCTTCACCCTTTAATCTGAACACCCACTCATTCTGAGTACTACTCGTCTACCCTTTATAAATTACTATACGGTTATTACCAAATCAAATCTGTGACTAGGTGTATGCTGTCATTATATAGGTATATCTATATGACTAAAGCAACAGATTCTACATGCTGCACAATCTAGTAATAGGACTTTCTTTTAAACTAAAACAATATTAGCATTAGCATCTAGAATATCATAGTCAATTTTAAACATGTTTCTTGTGTTTTCTAACAAAATTCATTACCTGCGTTAGAAGCACCCCCATATTAAGCACTCGTGTGACAAGGCCCATTGCTGATTCATGTGATATTTCATTAAGATTTATCTTACTCCTGTTGGAACAATAGAGAGAGAGAGAGAGAGAGAGAGAGTCAAATTAAAGGTAAATCAAATCTCCTAATTGGAAAAAGAAAAAAATATATATATATTTCATTTAGATTTATCTCATTCATAGAGAGAAAAAGTTAAACTAAAGGCACATCAAACCTCCCAAATGGAAATAAATATATATATATATATATACATTGAATACTTGCTTACTTCTTTAACATTTTGGCCGACAATTCTCGGGGATCTATTACATCAACACTCCACCCAATAGATTCATTAGCCTTCAATGACTCGAACAATTCCTCCCTTTTCTCTTCCTTGAGAGTTTTTGAATCTGATATATATATTTAGAGGGAATAGAAAAGGTAGTCACGTCTCAGTGGTAGAAAATAACATTTATTCAAGCTAACAAGCTTATACATTTGCATAAAATAAGGTGAGAATGTTGCTGTGGTGTTACTCTATGACAGCATACAGATTTCATAATTTGACACTATTTAGAATTATTAATCACATTAGCGGATAGTATGACAAATTTTCTTAGAATTGCAAGAAGCTGATGTAAAAAGGTTCTAAGGTAATTCCTCCAAGCAAATAAAACCACTAGGGAATAGAACTCATTGTTCTATTCAAGCAAGAAATTAAGAGTTGCAGTTGCTTATATGTCAAATTAGTGTACACCTTTAAAGGTATAAAGTAGTGAATGTTAAAAAGCAGGCCAATTAGCCAAATTGGTATAAAAGTTAGCACCTTTGTGAAATATTGGTATAAAAGTTATCGCCGATGACAAATTAGTATAAAAGTTAGCAAGTTGTGACAGATTGGTATAAAAGTTAGTCACCGCACTCACCGGCGGCATATTGGTATAAAAGTTACCATGTGATGACATATTGGTATAAAAGTTTATTAGAGATGACATTTAACCCTCTTTCTTGTTGGAATAATAAGCGTATATTGTACAAATGATTATTCTTATTCTTGTAGCTTAAATCTATTATTTTTTTTATTACCCTTTTTTTTCCTTCAAATATTTAATGTAAATTTCTTGGACACTATTAAAAGCCCCAAAAAAAAAGTTAAAAGAAAGGAAAAATAGGAAAATATAGAGAAATATTCTAGATTATGCAGCAAGAAAAATAACAAGATCAAACTCTTTGATTAAATATTTTCAAGATTATATTGAGCTTTTATTTTTCCAATATTCAATTTTATATAAATATATTTGCTCCCGACTTCTTATATAATACAACTTATTACATGTCAATTTTAACTTTTGAGACATTAAATTATAAAAATTTCTCTTTCCATCCATTTTTTGAGATTTTTTTTTAACTCACAATTTATTTTTATTTTTTGTTATTATTTGTCGATTATTTTAGGTGAATGAGTATGGAGGAGATTTTTATTTTTTTTTTTTGAATAGCTTGGAGGAGAATTATTTAGCATAAAATGAGAACTAACAACAACAAAAAAAAAAAAAAAAAAAAAAAAAAAAAAAAAAAAAAAAAACACACCTCATTCGGCAAGAAAAGAAGGGTGCAATGTCACAACTTGGAACATTTTATACTAATTTGTTGCAATTTGTTAACTTAAACACTAATATGCCACCAGTGATTAACTTTTTTACCAATCAGTCAAACTTGCTAACTTTTATACCAATATGTCGCCGGCGATAACTTTTATACCAATATGTCACAAGGGTTCTAACTTTTATACCAATTTGGCTAAGGACTGTTAAAGCATCCCCTTAACCAAACCATTCCACCCCTCTCCACCTCCTACCCACATGATATTCTAGAACATATATTTTGTCAATGTGGTGCAATGGGAAACCTGTGGACTAGTTTAACAACACTACGTAGCAAAAGTAGGTTCCTATCAATATCCCTAGTACTAGAAGAGTAGAAGATACCATGATTCAAGTAATATTGATCCTTTTATTTCAGCTAGAATTATTATTTATATGGAAAAATAGATTTAATTCTACAATTAATATAAAGAGCTACCAATAAGGAGCTACCACCACATACTTATCATTGGTATTAGATATATGGTTTTTTTCCCGTCTCGAGGTCATATCTGAGCTCTATGGAGCTATTTTTATTACTAAATATAGTTAGTATGAATTTTGTAGGAATTTTCGTTGAATACTGAGGCAAATAGACCGCTATGAGATACTAGAATTGGACCGCATTATGTATGACAGTTTATTTAAAGCTAAGAGATAAGCGCCTGATCGACTTTAAGTCCGGAACGTCAGCAAGAAATTGTCAAAGTATAACAGCTCAATTGGGCGAACATTAGACCGATCGGACGCATGTATTTTGTAGGCTAGTTTTAGCTTTCTTTTGTAATCGTCTTTAAGAGAAGTATTTAAATTTTGTTGTAGAATTCTTAAGCACGTTTTTAATTAATTTCTTTCGGCTTTAGGTTTTAGAGAGATTTTTAGTATTACGAACACTTTTCATCTATTATTTTTTTATTCAAGTTTTCATAATTACTAGTACAAATTTCCTTTAGTTTGGTATTGTTTCTCACCTCTTTTATTGCTTAGTCTTAATTATTGTTTTCAATATGTTTGAAATAATTGGTTTGTTAAGATTAGATCTAACTATGGGTGAGTAGTTTAATTTTAGCATTTTTAGAGATTTATTAATTAATATGGAAGGATAATTAGTTCTTGTTAATTTTTTATGTTGCAAGTAAATTTCATATTGACTGTATGAATTAAATGAGTTTCGATTAAAGCTTTGACTTCTTTCTTTCTTCATCCTTTCTTATTTTTATTCATACTCTCTTATTCTCTCACTTTCTCTCTCTAAACTCCAACCAAAATACTCATTTTCTTTAGATTTTCTACTTAGATCATCATATTTCTCAACATCATTGTGATCCCTTTCCATTCTTTATCCTCTAACAAGAATTTTTCATTTTTCTTCATTTTTTCAAGGTTCCCATTTTTTAAGTTAGAGAGAAAGCTTCAATCAAACATCAATGGCACCTAAGGAAGCTTTAAAGAGGAAAAAGGGAGAAAGTTTGAGGGCAAAGAAGCAACAACAACAACAACAAATTTCAGTGGAACACGAGAGTTTTGGAAACAATGACTACTCGGAGGTTGTTTTTGCAACACAACAACAACGAGATAAGTTTCAACACCTTCAAACTCACCCTTTAATTCCAACTAGATTTATTCATGATAATTCTTTAAATGTTATTGGTATTAAGAGCAACTTAAATGGGTTTTTACAGGTGTTGGTATGGGTTCATTCTTTACTATGCGCCATTTTACGTATCAACGTTAAACAGATGAATTTCTAATTCCATTGAAGTCTGAAAAAACGTAAAGCAATTACTGTAATTTACTTTAGATTGATTGATCGGGACAATCGTATGAAATTTAGGGATTTTGCACTTTTGTTTTGTTTAGATGATAATTTGAATCTCGACCCTCCGGTCAACGGACCTTATAATGTGTGATTTTTGGATGAAATTAAACGAGGAGGTAGTTGCGTCACCACAACAGGACAAAGCTTCACTCTGTCACCACAACCTTTCCCTAACAACCCTTTATAATAAGCCACAAAAGCATTAGAAATCTGCTTAGGAGACTCACACCAACCTCCATCAGTCCCTTTAATAGCTATCACTCTCTTCTTGTATTTTCTCATCTTAATACTTCTATGAAAATATTTAGTATTCTCATCCCCTACCTGCAGCCAGAGAAAGCCAAGAAAAATACTGCTCTCTATCTTGAGCAAATTCAGCCAGCAGCCGGCTCTCCTTCACTTTTAAGCAGTATCAGCCATACATTTTTTAATATCCTTCTGCATTTTACCCAACTCATGCTTAAGCTTATCATATTGCATCTCAATATCTGCAAAATCAGTTCTATGCAGAGTTTTCAGCTCTTTAAGCAATTTCAGCTTCTTAACCACCATATACATCTCCACTCTATACATCCTGGTGTCCCAAACGTTCTTCACAATTTCAAGAAACTGAGGATGTAAAGTCCACATATCCAGAAATTTGAAGTTAGACTTGTGACTACCCCTTATATCATCAATATGTAGAACAGCAGGACAATGATCAAAAGATAGCTCAGGCATATAATTAACAAAAGAGCTAGGACAAGCAGCAATCCAGAAACCCTACTATCCCCCTCTTGCTTATTATTCCAAGTAAAAGTGCTTCCAATACTTTTCATATCCAGCACACCACTAGAGTGCACACAATCCCTAAAATCTTCAATCTCAGACAAAGATATAGGTCTTCCTATTCTATCAGAGTAGTTTAGAGGAGAGTTAAAATCCCCAGCAACCTCTGCTAATATCCTTGATCAAACACCACAACTCCTCTCTTTCCTTCCCATCATTCATACCATACACCACAGTAAAATGAAAATCAAAAGAAAGAGCACAATTTCTAACCTTCAAATAAATAAGCTGAGCATGATTATACAGAATCTGAACCTGAAAGAAATCAGGCAGCCAGGCCACCAGAATTCTGCCACCCTTAACCAGGGAAAAATTAGTGGTAATTCCCCATAAACAAATGAGCATGAATCCCCCGAAAATTAGCCTGCTTAAGCTTTGTCTCAAGCAAACAACACAACCCTATGTCCCAAAAGGAAGTTCTTAACCTCCTCCTGCTTTGAGAGGCCATTTATGCCCCTCACATTCCAAACTCAAATCCTATCCATGAACCTCCTTCAGCCTAGAGTGGGGGCGCCACACCGCCACCCTTGTTTTCAACATCACCACCATGGTACAGTTGCTCAAAAGGATTGCTGATCAGAATATCTTCTTGAACATGCACACCCTTTTTGCCATACTCACCTCCTCCCTTCCCAGCTACTTGCCAGGTCTCAAGAGAAGGGTTGAACACACTAGTTCCTGGCTGTTTCTCTGTGACAGCAAGCATATCTCTAGCTATCAACTGATCCTGTCTCTTATTAGGTTCAACCTATCAATCAGAGTTTTAAAATCTAGCTTACTATCGATTGAGTCAAAACCATGTAAAGAGGGAAGCACGGGAACGAGAAATAACAAGCCATGGAAAAATAAACAAGTTTTAAATCAGCGGAACTAAAGGACAATTGGTGTCCCATGATATAATGACAGTTCAGGATCATATAATAACAAGCAAGCCTCGGTAAATTGGCTCTGATTTTTCTGGCGGAATTTAGAAACCTATAGACAGAAGGAGATAAATGAAATCTCCCTTACAAACTAATTTTTTTCAGGATAGCTTCCTCATAGACCCCCTGTAAATATACAATATTAGGAACATGTCTCGTTCGATCAGGAATCCAGGCCAATTCTTTTTAGCAAACCTTTGTATACGGATCAGATCTCAGTTCAACTTCAAGAGCATCCTACATGCTTCTTTACAGCTTGATCTTATCTTCCCTTATACATGCATCATCTTACAATTCACCTTCGCCAACTAAGTGCTTTAAAGAAAAAAAAAAAAAAAAACAGCTACAAATGAAAAATAATTCAATCCAACCTACCACTTGTGGATGGATCACACAACTCCTTCAAACATTTCTGGTTATATCTATTAGAATTCTAAGGTAAAAGAAATCTTAGATGACCTCAATCTCACCATACGCTTTTTGGGTTATACTTCTATAGTAGGCATAATTGATTTTATAGATGCAACAAAACCAAACATGTACGAAGTCAGATACATTTAGGAAAATAATGAACTCTCTACCCCTAATAAATGTCTCAATTTCAAGTGATACAGGTTTTGAGAAAATTTCAAAGGAATTGAATGTAGGAAATTTCTACAAAACAGGATATACTATTAGAAGATATATTATTTGGTACATCCAAGTGGATGATGAGGGTATTCATTTTGGGATAGGAGGGTAATTCACCAAAAAATTTAGCTCACAAAAGTCACAAAGCTAGCAGCAAGCTTCCATAGCACTACTTCTGGAATTATGCATTGCTTAATTACCAACTCTACCCACAAGTATACCATTGTCAGACTTGACCCAGTCACTTCCGAAGTTTGGGAGCTATTATTCTTCAAGATTTGACTAATACTTAAGACAACGCCAATTCTAAAAGCACCAAAGAGAGCATTGAAATCCAAAATGAAACAGGGTAAGTTCATAAACTACTCCATCAAAAAGAAGCAAAAATTATCTTCTTGGGTGGACTTTTAATAACTTTCAAAAGCATAAGCTGGAAACATGGCTGACAACACCTTGTTTTTCAAGCATGTGGTAGACTAGTAGGAACTTTTTCAACTGTACCAATATAGTTTCTAGATGAGCAGCTTATCTCAAACATATGTTTCTCTGCATGTTAGCAGCCATCATATTTAAGACAGGTTTGGGTTCTAATATACTCCCTCCGTTTTTAAATACTTGCTCCATTTTCCTTTTCCGGCCGTTTTTAAATACTTGCTCCATTTCTTTATTTAGAAAGCTTTTACAATATTTAATTAATTTCTCTCACCAAGTGGTCCCTTTACAATACTAGTTCCATATTCTCTCTCCTTCAATTCTCTCCACTACTTTTGGTTTTTTACAATTTTTTATTCTTCCACCAACCCCACTACTTCCATATTTTATTACTTTCTCCAAATTCTCCTAAAACTCCGCGCATGGAGAAATGGAGCAAGTATTTAAAAACGGAGGGAGTAAGAATATGAAATTAAGATATATGGAGTAGTAATAATCCTCCAAGTTTAAGATCTTTATATAATGAGCAACCATCAACTTTGTTCTAAGAATGTGTCAAAAAATAAATAAATAAATAAATAATAATAATAAAAATAAAAATAAAACTTTGTACTAAGAATAGTGGCTCTTTATAGTGGGAGAATCAATGGACCAAAAGCATACAAAAAATGAATAAAATCTGTCAAAGAATGGATTGCAACTTAAGAAAATGAGGTTCTACAATCAGCATGAATATTCTCGGTAAAGCGTGAAAAACTTGAACCAAGCATGGCTCGCACAAGTTATTCTAAGGCACACATACCAGACACATATATAAACCCATGCCATGTCGTTAAAACCTGTAAAATACCTTTAACAACAACGCAATGATGATGAGCCACACATACCGCAATTGGTTTGAAACAATTTCGGTCAGAATGCAAAACTCTTAAACTAGAGATCCTTTAAATGGATAAAATCCAAACAGAAATTTATCTCCTCTTCGTCCAAAAAAAAAAAGGAACTTTATATCCTCAACAGATAGAAGAGCTTTTTTCTACCCATTTCTTAAATTTCGAAGATTATGTCCTTAAGCCATTAATGAATCATTTATCACTGCAAACAAAATAGGAAAAAAAGTTCCACCATTTAATATATAATTTACTTACATTCCCAACTTAATTTCAATATAAACCAAAATCCCCATCAATTTTATCCTTATCCTGCTCATCAATCCCCTAACCTGAACATACCCTTAAATCACCATCCACGTACCAAAAGCCGGGAAAACCGGTGCATCCTCCATAACCAATACGAGCCAATTCCAATTATTTTACATTCCGGTTGATGAAAAAAAATAAAAAACTTTACCAGCTTTGAATTAACAGCAAAATCAAGCATTAGCGCTAATTGTTTAATCAACTTATTAAACCAATCTACCAACAAATCATTAAAGCCCCAGATATATTAGACCAAATTATCTTAAAAAAAACAATTAATTTACAAATCAATAAAACGACAAATCTTCAAGCAAAATTAAATTGAAATTTTCGAAAAAATAAAAAAGGGAGAAAACCTGCAAATTCCAATGAAGCAAGAGTCTTCTGAAAAGAAACAGCACAGTACAAGCATCCATACACCATTGGACCTGAACCCAGAAACAGCATTTTAATTAGTAAATTAAACATAATCGAAAAAAGAAATTAGATATTGGATGAAGCATGAAGCATGAAGATTTTTTGTAAAATAGAAGAAAAAAAGGGGAAAACAAACCTAGTACAGGGCCTCTACCAGCTTCATCGATACCCATCATACAAGGCTCTAATGCCCAATTGGATAGTGCTCCATCTGATTCCATCTTCGTCTTTTTCTCTTTCTCTCTCTGTAGTTGTGTTTCCCGCCAGAAACCACGACTAGGGAGGAGGCTAAACTAGAGAGTGTTGTACTACTATAAGCAAGCGGTGAGCAAAAATATTGGACCGCTTTCCCTATATACGAAAAGCTGCAATTCTAAATATATATTCCCTTCCTTTTTAAATAGTTGCTCCACTATTTTTTTTTGGCCGTTTTTAAATACTTGCTTTATTTTCCTATTTAAAAAGTTTTTACAATATTTAATCCATTTCTTTTACTTGATGGATTCAACATAAATCATATTTTATTAATTTTATATTCTCTCTCCTTCAATTCTCATCACTACTTTTGCTTTATACAATTTTTTATTCTTCCACCTACCCCACTACCTCCATATTTTATTACTTTCTCCAATTTCTCCTAAAACTCCGCGTATAAAGAAATGGAGCAAGTATTTAGAAATGGAGGGAATATGTTTTTCAAAAATTTCCAATATACCTTCTGCATCAGTGCATTAGCAAGTGGGGAAAAAAAAATTAATTCGACTTAAAATACAAACCAATTGGATGTTAGTGTAGTGGTGATTGAGACTACACTTGGTAAAGAGCACCTGAGTTCGGTCCCCCACAACAACAATTGGGAGGGGATTGGAACCTAACCACCCAGAACTGATACCCGAATCCGGATTCACCCAAAGGGTGAACCGTTTTGAACAAAAAAAAAACACTATAAATCTAAAAAAAAACAGATTTTAGGATTTCAGATCTACTCAATATCACGATCGCAAGCTCGCAACAACCACCACCGCTTGAAGTCCATCACAGCCACCACAATCAGTCTTCCCGTCGATCAACCATGGAGGCTTTCTCTTCTTGTTCATCCTTTCTCAACTGCAATGACCCAATGCCGCTTCACGGCGGTAATAAAACGACACCCTAGCAAAGAGTGTAAATTTAGGGCCATACTAACCCTTTGGGGAAAGTATCTTCTTCGCGACGACATTAAACTGAAGGAATTGTGTCTTCCATAAGTGCACTTACTAAATATATCAAGAATTACTATTATGGAGATAATTAGTTCATTCTATAAGGTCGTCATTGTCTGGTGTTAAATATGGCAAATGATCTTTGGGCTAGTTAAATAGTCCAAAGCCCAATAAAATAGATCTTATAAAATCACACAACAAGGGTATTGGGTCAAACAAGTAAGAGGCTCAATTGGCCTCATGAGATCATGACATACCATAAGGAGTGTTGGGCTAGAATAGTTTGATTAGGACAAGGAGTTTGGGCTTGACATGGACTCTTATTTAAAGATATGATCTATAAATAAGATTCATGACTTAGATTGAAATAATAATTCATAAGTCGGTTAATTGTAACTCAAGCAACCAAGTCCCAAACCCTAATCTCTCTCTCACTCTCGCGGCCCTCTCCTCTCTCTCCCTATCCGTACGGCCGGCCGCCCCCTAAGGTGATTCGTGGTGTTCATGGTGGTGGTGGATCGTGGTTAGTTCGTGTCTCTCTTCTCCGCTGAAGGTTGATTGAAGTGTTCAATCACAACTGGCTAGCATTAGTGGAGGTTTGATCTATACCCGTGGACCAAGTAGAGGAATCACACTTTGGGTTCTATATCTCCCGTTGTTCTTGCTCGATTGCACGTGGATTCACGCTTCAAAAGTATTACTATTTGTTCTTTATGTGTTATGCATTGATCTAAGTGTTTTAGATGCTTATGAATGTGATTCATGCAATTTCACTTATAGTATCTAAAGTCCTACACTAGTATTAGGTAGCCGATGCATGTACACATATTAAATTATTAATCCTTTGAATGTCCACAATTTTAATTCAATTAGGGGGGAGAATAATTTAATTATGGGTCAATTATTATTTTAAATGTGATTTAACATAATGGAATTATTGAAAGTTGTTTAATTTGCCCAATATTAATCCATGAAAGGTCCGAATTTTTTCCCTAATGATTCGAAAAATTCAAACCCTTAAACCCTAATTTCGAAAAAATTTGAAACCCTAAACCCCGAAATTGTGATTTTTGTTTTTTGGTTTTGATTTAATTCGATTACTATGTGATTCATGATTTTAATCTATTTGATTTTATGTTAAATTATGAATTTTTCATGATCAAATTATTTAATTTAAGAGTTAAATTGAATTGGGGATCAATTTCATGAAAAACCCTAATTTCAAGATTGAATGAGATTTAATTTTGAAATTAATTGGACCACATTAATTTAATTTAACTTTTTAACAATAGAATTGTTTTAATTTAAATTAAAATAAAAAAGGTGTTTTTGGTATGGCAGCCATGGCGACTGCCGCACCAGGTGGTCTAGGAGAGTGGGCGGGGCTATGCAGGAGGCTCGGACAGCAGGAGCAGCCACAGCAGTGCCACGCAAGGGTTGCGTGCACTACCGCTGCTGCCCTTGCGTTGTTGCTATGTAGCGTACACCAATCGGTATACAGCCACCGTGGTTGGCTTCGGCTGGCCATACCCCGATGGCTGGCACGTTTTTTAAAAAAATTATTATATTTTATTTTAATAAAATCAGATTTTTAAATAAAAAATAAGTTTTGATTTTGAAAAGATAATTATCAAAATTAAAGTAGTTAATTTTGTTAAGTTTAGATAATTATTATATTAACAAAAAAAGTTTGGATAATTATTGAGCAAAAAAATTCTATATGGATAATAATTGATTAAATAATGAGATTATCCCATAATTATTTTAGGATAATAATTGAATTAAAACATTGTGATTGGCTAGGCAATTAGGATAGAATCTCCTAAATTAGTTAGGATAATCATGGAAAAAAATATGATTTATCTTTTATAATTAAAATAAGATTTGATTCTATTTCATACCTAAGATAAGAATATATGATATTTTATGATTGGTAATGAATAATATATGATATTATCTAATTGCGGTAATTTAATTAAATATAAGATATTAAGATGGCATGTTTCCTTAATTATAAACATTCGATGTTGTAGTTTAGGAAACCATGATGAGTGATTTATTATATGACACTTTATAATATATGATGTTATTTATTGCTATATATAGACTAGTATGACCCATAGATTTTAAATATGATCTGTGCATCATTTCGTATTTTTGTAGTCTAAATACGGTTTGCGTACCATTAAGTGTTTTTGTAATTCATTTTATTTTATTTAAATAGTAGATAGAATAGAATAGTATTACAGGTTGCAATTGATCCAAGAAGCCAATGGAGTGAAGACCCAATGGAGTTAGATGGATGAGATCCATGAAGGTTCAAGTGGGAGTTTCGCTTTATTAGTTTTCTTAGGATTAAGGGGCCATAATATGTCATATTTTATTTATGCATTAGTAGATTATGCATGTTAGATTTTATTGATGCTTGTGATGATGCGCTAAAGTTCACTAAATTAATCACAAACATAATGAATCTAGGTCCCGGTAATATTGAGGTTGCTTTTCCAATTAAAAACCTAATAAACCTTTGATATTTATGATAGGTCATGCCAAAGCTATGTGTCATTTTATATCTTGGGAGAGTTGGGGTAAATCAAGTTTTACAATTTTAATTAGTTATACTCAATGAGGTTACTTAAAGAGTTTAGAACCTTGATGCAAAGGATAATAATTAAACATGTGATGGATATATTCAACAAAGAGTTACAAGAGTTATAATCAGTAAAGAGTTTACTCACCTTTGAAAGTGTAATGGTTGATGGTATGGCCAAATTTCAGTCAATTATTGCACAAATAAAGGGTCTTGGAATCACTTAATTCAAATAGGGATCAATTAAATTGAATAAAGTGTTTTAAAGTTACCAATTTAAATCTCTTATGGTACTTTGATTTTATTAAACATAATTATTAAACTTTGCCTCGTTTTTATTTTGTTTGCAGATGAATAGCTTTAATGACAACACTAACTTGCCAACCAAACTGAAAACAAGGCTAAATCTCATAAGCTTAAGGGAATGGGAAGAAGAGCTAAGAAATGTTCTTAAGAGCCACAAGCTTGAGGCTCGACTCTATATTCCTATTGAAAGCAGATTCACAGTAGGTTTCACTCCTGATAGGCACCCGAAAGATGTTTCGGATGTAGAGAAAATCAAAAATCTCATATTGGCATTTATTCTAACTTGTTGGAAGACAAGGTTCAAGAACTATAAGTTGACCAAAGCATAATTATCTATATGCCATCTGTCGAGGTGGCATTGGGGCATTAGGAAGTGGAGGCATCAATGATCAGAATGTTAGAGAGGTCGTTACTTTGATCCCTCAAATATACTACTCCTGGACTGACAGTGTAAGGTTTGAGATTTACAAAATTCATTGTAAGATAATGACTATGAAACTCAATCAGTCAGTTTAGAACCATGTGAAGGAATTGATTGATTTACTCAATCGGATGGACATCTTATAGAGACCATTTGATGATGACTTTGCTCATGACACTATTCTGTTTTCACTCCATGATGGATTTGATCTCGTCAAGCTTATTCATGATGATGAAGGCTCGACAGTGACACTAGTCAACCTATTGATCAACCACATAGAGGAGTACTTGAAGAACCATGTGGAAGCCAATGCTTCTATTGCGGTAGGTGGTCTTGCCACTTAACAGGTTGTCCCCACAACACACCAGTGAAGACAAAATGTAAGGAGTTACCTGATGTTTTTGTTGTTGAAATCAATCTTACCTCTTCTAGCAATTGGGTATTCGATACTGGTTGTCGTGCTCATTGTTAATAACATGCAGGGCTTAAGAGAGAATAGGAAGTTAGCAAAATGGGAAGTCACACTTCGAGTAGGAAATGAAGCAAAAGTTGTTGCACTTGCTATTGGAAACTATCATGTGAGGCTTTCGTCTGGTCTTATTTTTGTGCTTAATAACTGTTATTATGTCCCAACAATTACCAAGAACATTATTTCAGTTCTTGTTTTAGATATTGAAAGTTTTTCTTTTCAAATAAGAGACAAGAGTTGTTTTATTTCCAAAGAAAATATGTTATATGCTAACAAAATTTATTAATGGTTTGTATGTTTTAGATTATACAACCCATGATTACAACATAGATCAGATAAAGCGCAAAACAGATGAATCAGACCAAGCCTATTTATACATTGTAGGTTA